AATACAGCATAGCGTGAATGCTGATTACCAGGCAGCTTGGTCACGGCAGCAGCACGCCACTCACCAGTACTGCTCTCGTCTTATTAGCAAAGCTATTTTTCATCAAAAAATCCAATTCTGCAAGAACCAAAGTAAAAGCATCCAATGTAAATGGGATCTGACGGTAAACAGGACTAACAGCAGGGCCAGATTCTCAAGTATTGATACGTTTGTTAACCGCACAGCTCAGCAATCTCACCCAGTAGCTGGATTTTCAGTTACCGGCACCGCATCGCAGAGAAGAAACGCTTATACTGACAGGAGATAATGCAGGATCCTAATTAGTGCTGATCATTAATTAAGGTTTTATGTGGGACAATTAAACACTCTCGTGGTCCATGAAACTTTCAATGAAGTCTTAGCAAGCTCCATTAGCAGCAGCTATTAAACTGTTATCCAGCTCTCATGCAATATGCTAACAATGGGGAGATAGCAGTAAAGCTATAGAGGAGATCAGCTTTATTCACACTACATTTCAGTATTCTTCCAACCAGTCCAAGGCAGGAGTCTAAAGATTGAAGCACCTCCATCTTACGATTCATTTATGAAAGCAATCATACAAAAGGGGACCATTAATAAAACTCACAGACACCAAGATGGAAGCAATGCCTGTGCTAAAAGTAGGTAAACCCAACAACTAAAATCTCAGATACTGTAAGTTTTAACATGTTTATGCCATTTTAAAAGTCATTTTCAAACTTTTGAAATCAGCAGCTTTCATTAAAATACCAGTAATCCCTTCATGAAGGTTACATAGTTAGTCTGGCTGAAAAAAAAAAGACAAAAAAGTCTATCCAGTTCAACCAAAAAATAAAAAATTATATCTATCTATCTATCTATCTATATAGTTATAATCCTATACCCACAGTTGATCCAAAGGTTATTCAGACACTTCCTGTTACAGGGTGGCAACACTCTGTCCCCATCTCCCAGTTATGCTCCTGTGCGGTCACCTCATCTCACAGGGACCACAAGTGGTCATTTCAACACATATTGCACAGGCATAGGCCTGTGGTCACCATCAGGAACCCCAAGCTGAGAAATGCCATGCAGGAGTAGCTTGAGTGCATGTAGACAGGAAGAGGTTGCCAAACCAAGATGCAACAAAAATCAGTACACAGTCAATATGTGCATTTTACATCAGCCTGCAGCTGGACTTTAACCTCCCTGGCGGTATTCCAGAGTGTAGCTCGGGGTAAAGTTTCAGTACCACAAGCGGTAACCTCGAGCTACACTCGGGCTCACCATGCGGCGTTGCTCCAGGATCCCTCAATCACTTACCTTGTCCTTCGCTCCCACGATGTCCCTCCTGCAGTGTCCCCGGCAATGTAATCCAGCGGATGCCAGCATTTGTCTTCTGGGTTCCGTCCCCTGCGAGCGTCGGGGCGTATGGGGGACGGAACGGTGGGAAATTTGAAAATGCCAAAAAGTGACATTCACTAAAATCACATAGTAAAACATTACTGTATCAAACCATTTCACATACATTTTGTCCCTAGTGCTTTGTCCTGTGCCCTGCCTGCATTTTTACTGTTCTTATTGCCTGGAAACTGAGAAACGTCCATGGCATCCAAAAAGCGTCCCTTTAGGTCAAAAGCAGTTTTAGACCAGCTAGAGAACAGCGATAGTAAATCAGAACCACTTGCAGAATTGAGTGATAATGATTTGTGGGGAAATTCGTAATCAGACACTGAAAACGATTTTGCGAATTTGCTCAGTGATGTGCGAACTTGGAGCTATATTTCAAATTTCGGTGTTTTTGGTTTGATTATATTATTGAATTAAATTATATTATTTTTTATGATTATTTATTAAATTATAATTTATGATTTTGTGTTTCAAGTTTTATCCTACCCGGGATGTTTACTAGACTCTTGTTCGGACAGATTTCAGTGAGTTATTCCTAAGAATTACAGGCCGACAATATAAAACGCCAAATTTCCATGCAAAATAATGGTACCGCTTTCAGCACCAAAAACCTGAAATAATCATACCGCCAGGGAGGTTAAAGAACAACTTTCAAAAGTGTGCCCAATTCCGTGGACAGTAAAGGTAGGGGATGTTGAAAATAATGAAGAACTGTTTGTGGGTAAAATGTGCAGACAAAGGGGAGGATAGGAAAGCAACAGTTATGACATGTACAGTATAGAAGTGGGGGGTGTATGACAGCGGGCAGTATATACATGAGGAGTACGGAGAAAAGTATGATGGTCATTTTATGCAGGAGAAAAGTGCAGAGGGTAGGTTGGCTGGCAGAATGTGTAAGAGAAGAGTCCAGAGATTGTGACAACAGGCATTATGTGCAGAAAAGGAGCACACAGGGTATGACGGTGCACATGTGTAGAAGAGTAGGTGGTGTAAATGGTATTATGACACAGTATGTGTAACAGAGGCATGCAGAGGGTATGACAGAGGGGCAAAATGTGCTAGAAAGGATTGTGGTAGATATGACAGAGGGCAGTGAGCAAAGTGTCAGCAGGAGGGTTCAGAGGCAGATGTCTGTGGGGTGAGAAGGAATTTGTACATCTACAGGGGTTGATGGTGTGATGTGGCTTGAGAAGATGTCCAATAGTGTGAGATGGTCTCATCTTATGAGATAAGTCTATCAGCAAGGGAACATTAAGCAGCTGGGGTGTAGAGGGATGTCTAGCAACTGGGGGGTGTTTGTAGCGTGAGGATGTCTGCTAGTGGGAAGTGTGAGTGAACCTGGGAGGGATATCTGTCAACAGGCAGTCAAAGGTAATGTCTGTCAGTTGTTTTTGAGAGACAACCAGGGAGGAGGATTGAGTTAGTGGGGGTATATGGTGTCCAGGGAGAATGTTTTTTAATGAGGCAGTAGGCAATAGGGGGCTGTGGAGTTTTATTGAGGGGGGGTAAACCCTCCTGGCCAGATTGTGTCCCTGAAGGCAGACCAAAGTAAAATTGCAAAATCCCGACGCACACGTTCCTGCATTAGACAACGGCTGTATGTGTAGGGGGTGCTGAGCGACCAATGGCTGGAACCAAGATACAGGAAACAGGTTTCTCTTCTCTGGCAATATTTCTCTTCTTTCAAGGTAGATCAAAACCCCAAGGCATCACCTTAAAATGATAAGTTCACTTTTCATCAAAAAATAATAAATGCACTTTTTTTACAGATAAAAAAAAATGAACATTTACTATTTTTTGTGTTAAGAGCTTGGAAGTGGAGGGTATTACACCAGTGATCAGCAAATCACGAATGCTATGCAGAACTCCTGCAGACCTGTCACTGAATCTACTTGCTCGTGCCTTGTACAGGGCAAGCCGATACTTACAGACAGGAAGAATTAAGGAACTACCATCAGCACTCACAGTGCCATGGTAGTTCACGGGAACTAAAAGCTGACAACTAAGGTTGTTGGTACTTGTAGTTTCTCATTCTCAGAAAACTGTGAATGAGTAACACAGCCAGGAGGGTGGAGAAGATCCCCCACTAGCTGTCAAAGCAGGGGATCAGGGGCCAGTCATTTCATAACGTTACAGGTTACATCCTGAATATGGGTGTACAATGTTTTTCGAAAGGTGAACTTATCCTTTAATATTTTCAATTTCATGCCATTCTCCTTGTCACTTCCATACTCCCTAATACAAGATTTGTAATATAGGCTAGCTCAGCAAACCCCACCAGCTTTCATCATACCTTGACTGGCCGCAGTTCTCTTCCTGCAAATAAGTATCTCTACGCCATAGAGGTAACTAACCCACCGCATGCATGGATTTTCCAAACTGAGACACACTCCATGTTAATGCTGGATCCCAGCTTCTTGCTGTCTACAATAGGTCCCTTTCTCCCCTGGGGAGACGCATTACAGGAGAGCTTGTGGCCCTGAAGCTAAACAGATAGCTACCAAGCTCTCCTATAATAGATCGCAGACAATCACCTGACAGTGCTTGCAGTTTTCCCATGTTCCATCTAAAACAAAACTTTTTAGCTTTAGACATTTCTTTTCACAAACATTAGCATAGGGCTGTATTTGACACACCTATACTTTTTTCCCCCACAACACAACACATTACAACACATAGTAATGTGCTTTTGTGCAGCTTAAGTGCCCTCTCACACTGATGCCTTTGATTGGTTCCTATTGACTTACAATGAAAAGGTGTTTTCTTGGTGCGCATTTGAAAAACTGCACCAATGATGCAGCTTGAAGGACTTTCAAAGTGCAGCACACCTGTAGTGTGAACAGCTGCATAAATTAACCGAGGAATAGTTCTCATGTGCTTTTAAAGCCCTGGGAAAGCTGGCAAAAGCACACCAGTGTGAAAGAGGCTTTAGTATGCATTGCAATGCAAATGAGTTACCTTAGTGCTTTGGGGCGTAATTAAAAATGAATCACAGCACAATTCACTTATGTGTGTAAAATGTATTGCCACAATGCATAGGTGTGAAGCCAGCCTATGGGTGGCATATAGACATGGCAAAGGTTGTAATGATGAACAAAACTAGATAAGAAAAAACATATTGGAAAAAGAAGAAGCAACCTACAGAAAGACATTACAACCTATGGATAGAACTGGTGAGAGAGCAGGCAGTGCATTCAGTGCTCTGAGCTGTGAGAATATACAGCCTGTTCATTTTAAGTATTTATCTTTTGGAGATTATTTTCTAGCTCCTATACACTCCATATTGCCTAGCATTCTTTTAAAGCTCATATGACGGGGCCATAAGTGAACCTGTATTATTGATCTGCCTATTATATGCATATATAGAAGTGCTTAATTGCTCATTTATATTTGAACAATCTCAAACAAATCCAGGGAAAGCCATCACTTTAAATTTGAAAAAAAAAAACAGCATGTCTGTGGACAGGAGGCATACTGTATAAATACATCTGGCAGCAACCACACAGGAGAGACCAAGAGTTAGCTATGATGGTAAACTGTAAATGGCAGCAGAGATTAGAATGGTTTGTAGTGTTTATACACATAAGACATACCTGGCTGTCCGCCCAACTCTGTGAATGTAAGTGTTAGCATCTTCAGGGCAATCCAGCTGGAGTACCCAGCTAACCGCTGGGAAGTCTGCAGATAAAAACAGTGAAATGGTGAAGAGTGAGCAGGGGTGTAATTATAAGTGAAGCAAGTCTATAATAGATCCCGCTGTTTTTTCAGCCTCCTTCCCAACTCAGCACATCCAAATCGATTATTGCAGGTAAGGATCCATTCTGACTGAATACTAATGGGTTGCTGTAAGGTAGCACACACTGCACTGCTTTACAGACAATAATGAACCGTAGTCAATTTTAAACCTTTACATTAAATAACCTGAATAAAAAGGAACAGATAGTGCAAGATAACCAAAAGTATCTTAATTAGTAAAAAGGCTTTTTTTGTGCCTTTATCCAATCTAGCTTCACTTTGTTACTGGCGCTTGACTTTCGCAGAATTAAAGTGACCCATGTCATTTCTCTTGCTAACCCATCTAGCAGTAATTGTGCATAGAAGCAGTTTTCAACTTTTTATTGTTCCCTTGCTAACCTCCCAGCTACCTAGCTATAGCAGCTGTGAAAATTGTGTAAAATCCACATTACCTACTATTACTTTACATTCCTTCATCTCTCTTTTCCCCCAATGGCTGAAATTACATTGCTGAAAACAATTACAGGAACACTTTTTAATCAGAGTAGAGCATCAAGTAAATTAAACTCCTGGGATATTGATCTGGTCAGTTACGTAGCAGAGGGGGTTTGGTAATCAGTTTCAGCTGCTTTGGTGTTAATGAAATTAACAACAGTGGCACTAGATGGGCAACAATGAGACGATCCCCAAAACAGGAAAGGTTTTACAGGTGGAGACCACTGTCATTTTTTTCCCCTACTCATCTTTTCGGACTGTTTTTCACTAGTTTTGCATTTGGCTAGGGTCAGTGTCACTACTGGTAGCATGAGGCAATACCTGGATCCTACAGAGGTTGCACAGGCAGTCCACCTTCTCCAGGATGGCACATCAATACCATTGCCAAGAGGTTTGCTGTGTCTCCCAGCACAGTCTCAAGAGCAGGGAGGAGATTCCAGGAGACAAGCAGTTACTCTAGGAGAGCTGGACAGGACCGTAGAAGGTCCTTAACTCATCAGCAGGACCGATACACTGGTGCAGTGGGTCCTGGGTTCCTCCTGGTGCATGACAATGCCCGGCCTCATGTGGTGAGAGTATGCAGGTAGTTCCTGGAGGATGAAGGAATTGATGCCATTGACTGTCCCCCATACTTGCCTGACCTAAATCCGATAGAACACCTCTGAGATATCATGTTTCGGTCCATCTGATGCCTTCAGATTGCACCTCATCCTGTCCAGGAGCTCAGTGATGCCCTGGTCCAGATCTGGGAGGAAATACCCCAGGACACCATCCGTCGTCTCATTAGAAGCATGACCCGACGTTGTCAGGCATGCATACAAGCACATGGGGGCCATACCAACTACTGAGTACCATTTTGAGTTGCTGCAATGAAATGTCAGCAAAATGGACTAGCCTGCTGCATCATGTTTTTCACTTTGATTTTCGGGGTGCTTTGAATTCAGTCCTCTGTAGGATGATAATTTTAATTTCCATCAAACAATGGGGCATCCTTACATTCCTAACACATTACCCAGTCCATATCAGTATAGATAGCCAGCATGATATTTTTTTCCCCACTGAGATCTGATGTTTTTTTTCAAAGTGTTCCTTTAATTTTTTTTTGAGCAGTGTATTTTTTTTCTATTGGATGATCTTAGTCAGTCAATGTAAAAAATTATTATTCATCACAGCAGTACCAACAACCTGTTACTATCAGTACTAGGAAATACTACATTTCAAGCACTTTTTATTGCTTTAAAGTCAAGTGGATGTCTCCTTAGTAACTATAATTAGTGCTGATTGACCACTGAGTTGGGATATTATCTGTGTGTTTTACCCCCCTCCCCCTTGATTATACAAAACAGACACAAAAGCTAGCCATGCATAGCTTTACTTTCTCCCATTCAGTCTGCGGGCTAAATGATTAAAAATCAGTCAATTCCCCCATCCATGTTAAACAGGGTGGATAAAGAAATATCCACTGTTGGCTCTTGTATTCAGCAACTGCAGCACCTGTGCCTGCCTGAATACCCAAACAAACTGCACCTGAAAAGATGCAGCCACTGTTTAGTCAATAATTTTTAATTTGACTTTTGTGAAGCCGGGTGGTGCTTGCATAGCCACCCAGGGCTTAATTTCCTGCTGAATTAGCTGAAACTCTAGCCAGCCTAACTGATATTTTCATTTACTCCTTAAAGCGGTAGTAAACACTGCTTGCTCACTTGTACCGACAAGTACGCTTATAACAAAGCTTACCTGTAGATACAAGGAATATATCCTAAACCTGCACCGTTTAGGAGACATTAACTACTTCTGCAGCTGGTGACATCACCAACACATGCGCACTGTGCTCTGAACGGACAGCGTGCTCCCATTCGCAGGAGTGATGTCATCATGGCTCAGCCATTCAAAAGGTCAGAGCTTGCAAACCCAGAAGGAAGATCAGGTGAAGATGGAAGCCCTGTCAGCGATAATCGCATGTTACTGAAGGGGTTCATTTTAAGGGAATTCTCTCATAATGTACTAGTATCTGATGCATACTAGCACATTATGCTCTTAACTTACAGGGGGAAGCTTTACTACCACTCTTACAATTTTTGCATTACTGTGACTGACTTTTAAGGTATACCACATTTCACAAAATTCAGTCTTTAAGGTGAACAGCATCAGAGTTATGTATTTAATAATTGTATAAATAAGGTTAGCATCCCTTGTTGTAATATTTAGCTTCCAAGAGCCATTTTTAAAAGGGACAAGCATGTGGTGCCCTGACACCTTTTAAGTAAATTTCCAATATGCAAAGTGGAGCACTGCCTACTTACACGTTAACATATCTGCACAAAGAGCAGTAAGAAATTCTCTGCACAGTACTGGAGAAATGAGACCACAAACCTAATCCTCGGGCCGCAATGTCTGTAGCAAAAAGTACAGCTGCCTGTTTCCTCACAAAGTCGTTATAGACCTCCATCCTCTTCATCTGCTGCTGCTTGCCATGCAGTGCCAAGATGGGGATACCAGGCCGCAGCCTGCAGAATGCACGGAACAAATACTGGACCTAAAGGAAGTAACAGTATTAAAGATTAGTTGTTGAAAATGATTTCAACTATTTACTGAAAATAGTGACAGTTGGGAACCTACTTATAGTGAAAAGCGGACATCTTTACATCCATGAATATCATATTTTGACCTTCATTTTACATGACCAGGTTCTCCATGTTCTGTCTAGGTTCTCTTCCCAATTTTCTCAACTAAGCCCCCCACACCCACCTTCCATCCACTGAAATCACTAGTGCTTCTCTCACTTCAGAGTCCTTAAACAAGCAAAGTGCTAAATACATTTGTAAACCACAGCACTGTGCTTTATAAATATGACATTTATTATGTTTTTAAGCATCAGTATGACCACAGTAAGAAGATACTCCTGCATCTCTTAGAGTTCAAGGAATACTTTATGACACAAACCTCTGCCACTGTACCCAGGTCATATTGGAGGTCAAGAGGCAGGTTGTAGCTGCTGGAACTGATAAGAAAGGTTAATTATATCTGTCCACATTATCCACTCTGAGCCCTACCACTTACAATACCTTGCATAGTGCAATAGACTATGTTGCCTAAAACAACCGCAGTGTATAAACCTTCATACAGAAAACCTGCTGTAAGTAGTAGCCCCTAACACTTCACTCTGAATCCAATAAACATACCTGTTTACAGCTAGAGAAGAAGACAATGCTCTTTTTCTTGAGGTGATTACGCACAAATGAAAACAAGAGGTTGATCTTTTGCGGGAGATCACACACAACATAATTCTGTTCCAGAGTTGCCGGCGTACTGAAATACACAGAACAAGGCATACATAAAACTTGAAGACAGAAAAAAAAAAAAAAAAAGAAAACAAACCACAATACAATGCAACATCTGCCTAACAGAAAAGAAAATGATAAAAACTCAACAGCAGCAAGAACCAATAACCATGGGTCACGTGTTGAAAAACAGCAAAAGAATCTATAGTGTTTTAGGGCAAGTTCACACTAGATGCAGTTCGGAGCGCTTTTTTTCTGCATCAAAAATGCATGCACAGTGTTTTCTATGTATTCCAAGAGCCCTAGTTCATACCAGTGCAGTCAGTTCCAGTCAATGTCTGGTGCAGAAAAGAAAAAGTAGAACATGCTGCATTTTTTCTGCACAGAACCAAACTGGAACACAGCAAACTGCATCGGACCTGCGTGTGGTGTGATATGTAAACAAAAACGTATCCGGAATGCATTTTTGTAGTGTGAACTGGCCCTTAAACCCATTTTACATACACACACTTTATTATTTGTAACCATTTAGGGATGAAAAAGGATTTCCAGAGCTCTATGAATTATCTCAAGTAAGAACACAGGAGAAAACACTCTTCGTGAAACAGAGTGAATACCAAGTAACAAAAAATTGTTCAAACTGTATTTCTCAAACAAACTTCTGAGCAGCGCTCAGAATCTTCCTATTAAATACTAGGGGAGAACAGCAGAAGTGGGTGAAAAGGGACAGGTTATAGGGCATAAGCCCTGTGTATTTGATGACTTTTTTTTTTCTAAGGATATATGCTTTACGGACAAAGTCTTGAACTAGTTTAACATTCAAGTTGACCAGTATGATAAACCTTTGTGGTTCCCAACAACCTTCCTTAATTTCCCTGAACCAGAAACTATGAATATGTTCACCATCAAAGTTTCCTGCATCAAAATGCTATCCCTAGTGTGAGGCCACTGCTGTCTGACCCACTCTGGATGTTGAGTGAGTGTGCTGTAGGAAAACAATCATGATATGAACTGCAGTCCTGCCCACACACCTGCTGAAGGAGCCTGCAGAGGATTACAAGTTATTTTAATTCTTACATGCCCTTGGCAAGGCAAAATTTACAACAAGCAGAAAGTTTTAATGAAAAAGTTGAGAAATATCAGAATGTTCCTAAATTATGATGATTCTGCTGGTCAAGTTGTCTGGTACCTACGACCTGTCTGCCCATGTGTTGAGTAAACCAGTCATTTAGTCCCCAACACATATCAATGATATCAGCCAGGCACCTCCCCTACAGTGTCTGGACCATGATCATTTGCCAATACATGCTCAGTACTGAGAAGGATGCATTCACAGGACTGTGAACATTTTATCGGTTCCTTCAGCAGGAATCCAACTGCATCATGAACAGAGACACTGGTTTCAGCTCAATGTCTGGTAATTGCTAGTTGGAGGGCATAATTGCTCATTTTAATTAATCACTGCAGTATTTAATTTATTAGGAGTCCCGCAAAACACTCCAGATTAGCCTGTCAATGAAGTGCTTGTGCAGAGTGCTCCATCTTGAGCTGTGTGCGACAAGATAAGGCCAGATGCAGAGAAGAGCCCGACAGCTACACTTTCTTTCTTAAAAGCAAAAATATGACCACAGTAATGAAACAGCCACATAATGAAAAATACATAAATCATGCTGACTGCTAATCAAGGATTGCTAAATATACGTGACCAAATAAAGTGCTGAGAATTTACTAAAAAAAAAAAAAATTAAAGCTGCAAGTAAAATATTTGTCACTCCTTAACCCCCAGTTTTTATGTCTGCTCTATTAACTGTTCTTAAATTTACCCAAGCCCCATTCAAACACTGTGAATTGTTTAAAGTGTTACTAAACCCCGGACCCTGAATTCACTATATCTGGTCTCCCACAGTACACAGGACATGGAAATGCAATTATTTTAGTAAATATAAACTGCTAAATACCTTTTCAGCAGTATATAGCAGTCTTGTGACTTCTATCAGTGTCCTGCTAAGCGCTGGTTAAAGCTTGTAGGAGGAGTTCTCATTCTCCTCTGACTGTCCAATGATGCTGCATAACCCCTGATCCTCTGTCTGGACAGTGCTCATTGGCCCTGTGCTGATTACATGCACACTCTCAAAAGTAAAAAATATATATAAAAAATATATATATATATATATATATATATATATATATATATACACACACTAAACTGAGCATGTGCAGACTCAGAGTAGTAGAAGGGGAGGATCAGAGAAGACAGGATCAACAGCCTTTTTACACAACCCGGAGGATAAACCCTTTAGGTTCCACAGTTAGTATAACACGCATGCTTTGCTGTATATACAGTCTGATTTCACTGTTATGGATTTAGTAATACTTTAACCGCTTCCCAACAGCGCCACAGCCGAAAGCCGGCTACAGCACGATTGTCCAGTTCTGGGAGGGCGTCCATTGACGTCCTCCCAGAACGCGTTCCCTGAGCTGTCGGTGATTGCTGTGTCCTATGGACACAGCTGATCACGTCATTAGGTAAAAGGCCAATCACAGCGACCTTTTACCAAGTGATTAGCTGTGTCCAATGACACAGCAGATTACAATGTAAATACAGTTGCCAGATATTGGCTGCACTTTCCTCACACTGTTGAAAGGAAAGTACTGCCAGTAACTGGTCAATGTGACAGGGGAGATCTGCACTGATTATCAGTGCCCTGATTATCAATGCCGCCCAGCATTGCCACTCAGCAGTGCCTCCAGTCAATGCAACAGCAGTACTGCCCATCAGTGCTGCCTATCAGTGCCCATCATTGCTGCATATCAGTACATCAGTGTCTCCTCATCAATGCCCATCAGTATTGCCTCATCGATGCACATCAGTGAAGGAGAAAAAATACCCATTTGCAAAATGTTATAATAGAAACAAAGAAAACTTTTTTTGCTCTTTTTTTGATTATAGTGCAAAAACACCAGTGGCGAGTAAATACCACCAAAAGAAAGAAATCATGCCATCATGCCAACAAAAAGCGGAAAGTGTCTAGGCGAGTCGCAGCAGTGATTCCACCTACTCTCTACCCCTGCCTCCCTTTGGCTCTGCATGAGATTTTATCCGTAGTTAGTCTGGCTAAAAAAAAAAAAAAAAAAAAAAAAAAAAATACTAAAGTCCTTCTAGTTCAACCATTAAAAAAAAAAATTATAATCCTTTACCCACAGTTAAACCAGAGGATGAAAAAAAAAACCCAGCAAAGCATGATCCAATTTGCTCCAGCAGGGAATAAATTCCTTCCCGATTCCCGGAGAGGCAATTTTAGTATCCAGTTATATTATGTGTACCTAGGAAATAATCCAGGCCTTTTTTAAAGCAATCCACTGAGCTGACCAGAATAAACTCTTAAGGGAGTCTATTCCACAGCTCTTACTGTGAAGAAACCTCTCTGTATTAAATCTCTTTTCCTCCAGACATAAAAAAAAAAAAAGAAGAAGAAGGAGGAGTGCCCCCTTGTCCTCTGTGATAACCTCAAGGTTAATAACTCTACACCGAGTTCACTATATGAACCACTGATGTATTTATACATGTTGATCATATCCCCCCTTAATCTCCTCTTCTCAAGAGAGAATAAATTCAGTTCCTCTAATATTTCCACATAGCTGAGCTCCTCCATGCCTCTTATCAGTCTGGTTGCCCTTCTCTGCACTTTATCCAGTTTCCAATATTCTTTTTGTGAATTGGTGCCCAAAATTGAACCGCATATTCCAGATGAGAGGTATTACTAATGATTTGTATAGGGGCAGGGATGTGTAATTCATATCGCCCGACGCCCGGGACATGTTTTTTTTTTTTTTTTGCCCTTAGCCCTACAGCAGGCAAGTAGCAGGGCTCATCTGTCCCGTGGAAGAATTCAGGCGTCCGCCGACCCCTGCCCGCTATATGTCCCGGCTCCACTTGCCCATCTGTGGGCTCGGTGCCAGCAGTATGTCGGGATGTGGGTATAGAGGGAGGACAGCAGACATGTCCGCTCCCCTCCTTGTCCTGACCCAGAAGTGATGTGCCGTGTCCCCGTTGACAGAATCCCGGTTATCAAGGTTGGGAAAGAATGTAATGTGGTGCGATGTGCACTGCAATACATTCAATGGAGCACAGGGGAGACATGCAGGGTCTTTTAGACCCTGCATGTCTCAAAAAAGAGAAACTGTCACCAAAAAATCATCACATCATAAAAGAAAAAAAAGTTAAGTAAAAAAAAAAATTTTTTTTTAAAAATGTAAGTTACACCCAAGCATAAAACCCCCTCCCCAAATTTTTCAAGGCCCCCAACCCCCACATATGTACACACGCACAAACGTAAAAGCACACGCTGAGGCGCCTACACATGAAAATGAAGTTTGTAATATAAGTTGCGCACGCCAGAATAAGAGCAATAATTTAAACCAGACCTCCTCTGTAACGCTAAACTGATGACCTATATGGGGCTTTAAAAACGTCACCTATAGAAAATATAGGACACTAAGGTTTGACATGTTGGATATCCATTTACTCAATGCAACCTCGTCTTTTATATTTTACAAAAAAATGGATAATCTATTGCTTTTTGTGCCCTAAAATTAACTTAGGTGTATTTTTTAATGAAATTTTGCATTTCCTAGACCTTTGTGATAATATCATGTGACATAAATTGGAACTACTGCTATTTTATTCTCTAGGGTCTCGGCTTTCAGAATAGTTTTGTGTAATCTTCAGGCTTTAAATGATTTTTTAAACGTGTGCCAAAAAATGCAAAAACGACTCTGGTAGAGAAAGGGATAAATGATAAGCCCAACACTCCCCTTTCCTGACGAGCAGCCAATCGGTGCTCATTACACTGCAAGGTCTCTCCCCTCCCTGCTAGTCAACCCGGGGGCGGTGCTGGAGACAGGGAGGGAGGGATAGGAGAAAAGGATATACAGTGCAATGTTATATTAAATGTTTGCCGTAAAAGTTGTCATAAAGCCCCTTTTGTTTTTAAAAGCCACAGACATTACTTAATTTTTTTTCTTTTATCAGAACAAGAAAATTGTCATGAGGGACAAGTAGATTGGGACCCCGATTTAGTCCCTGGAAAAGTAGTTTTTTCATGCAGAACCTAAAAGCAAGTTGACCCAAAGTTAGGTCCCAAGACAGATCCCATCTGAAATATGTAGGAATTCATCACTTGCCCCCTTCTGAAAATGCTGATTGCCTATCTTGTCCCTGCCTTCAACTTTCTGATTGACTTACGTAGAATATATGCAGCATGTGCAGACAAAAAGACATTTTCACATATTTCTTCCAGTGGTCAGTGAAGTTTTGCAGCCACTGCAAATCTAAGATGTAAGGTTGGGTACACATGTTCAGTTTTTTTTTTTGTTCAACTCAGTACGGTGATCTGTCAATTTTTATTTTTCATTCTGCCTGCTAACACAAGCAATGTTACTGCGGCTATCTTCCCAGCTTCGTTATCCTGTTCAAAAAGGGGAACTGTCCCCCCACACCAGAACACAATGATCACCGCTGGCAGTCATTGGCTGTCATCGCTGATCGGATGCCAACTGGATACTGGTTTTCCAGCATGCCCGTTCAACAGAAGTCAGTTGCGAGACCAGCTTCTGTTGGACAAAGCTGTACAAACAGGCCAAAAGTCATCTGGTTTCTGTTGAACCAACCAGTTTCTGTCCATATTCAGCCTGTGTGTACCCAGCTCAAGCATCTAAACATCCAAAATACTGTGCACATTTAGTGGCAGCAGAAGATGTCGGCAATGGCAGACTATACATTTTTATTAGTGAATATATCGGTGTGCCAATATTGTCTACAAAACCCCAAAATAATACACTTTCTCCCCCGAAAGTCCAAAATATACAGTGCAAGTCTTTTAGTGTCTAAATATGCAAATGTCCTAAAAACCGTGGATATGATGATCATGGAATTGATTAAAGCTTTTCTCAAGTTTACAAAGGGTAAGAGTAAGGATGACAGTTATTTAGAAGTGCTCACAAGGTTGAATTCTGTACGATTTGTCACGAGTTTGTAAGTGCGTTTTGTGAAACATATCACATGTTGGGAATAATGCACTATTTGAGAATATAATTTTTTATATTCAGGTTTATTGGAATAAGAAGAATTCTTACATGTTGGAGGAAGAATATTAAAGAAGAAGATCATATCCATGTTTTTTAGGACATTTGCATATTTAGACGCTAAAAGACTTGGACTGTATATAGTTTTTATTAACATACTCTCAAAAGTAAATGGCCTGCAGAACATAAGAAGCCAAACGTTACCTGAATTTTGCCTTCTCATGAACCCACACATATTCCGGATCCTTCAAGCTGAGGCGAGCAAGGTCTTTCACAGATTTAGTCTGAGTAGCGGAGAAGAGGAGGGTCTGCCGTTTCTTGGGCAGGTTTTCCACAATTGCATTCATTGTATCGGCAAAACCCATGTCGAGAATCCGGTCAGCTTCATCAAGCACTGCAACAAGACCAATATTAAAGTGGAATGCAAGAGAACATTTGTTTCGGATAAAATAGGTAAAAGATAGAACTTCCATCAGGTTTTTATTGTTGTCACTGTTTCCACGGTCATTTCCTGTTTTAGTTGGGAGTTCATTAGAACAGGAAGCAACAGGAAGTTTCAGTTTCAGCTGCTAGTTAAAGTGGAACTTCACGCTCTCAATCAACACAGACTATTCTTAATCTTTAGGTTGATAACATTAGTAAATAGATAGGAAGTTTACTCGTTGCAAACTTTTTGTTTTTACATTTGTTCAGTTACTCTGGTTTCCAGAGCTTGGCAAAATACATCAGGGAGTCTTCAGGAGCGGTTTTCTTAGATAAACACACCCCTGTCTGCTTGCCTGTGCTAAGGGCAGATGAATTCCAGGAAGTAAATGCTACATGAATCATATGCCCTTCCTCAAGACAACCACAGCCAGAAAACCCTGGGGGGAGGGGGGGGGGGGGGTTGTGTAGCCTCCTCGGCGGTATTCCCGAGTGTAGCTCGGGGTAACATTTCAGTACCACAAACGGTAACCCCGAGCTACACTCGGGAAAATGCACAATGCTCCGGCATTTGTTCTTCACTTACCTTACCCTGCGCTCCCGCGATGTGTCCCCTGCAGCGTCCCCGGCCATCTCCTCCGGCCGATGCCGGCATCTGGCTTCTGTGTCCTGTCCCTGTGACGTCGGGACGTACGGGCGCCGCTGGCGGCGGGAAATTTAAAAATTTTTAAAAAATTTCTTTTTTTTTTTTTTTTACATTACATTTTACATAGTAAAACATTGCTGTTTCAACCAATTTCACATACATATTGTCCCAAGTGCTTTGTCCTGCACCCTGCCTGCATTTTGTCTGTTCTTTCTGCCTGGAAACTGAGAAATGTCCATGGCGTCCAAAAAGTGTCCCTTTAGGTCAAAAGCGGTTTAGATCAGCTAGGAGAACAGCGATAGTAAATCAGAACCACTTGCAGAATTGAGTGATAATGATTTGTGGGGAAAATCATCATCAGACACTGAAAACGATTTTGCGACTTTGCTCAGCAATGTGCTAACTTGGCGCTATATTTCAACTTTCAGTGTTTTTGGTTTGATTATATTATTGAATTAAATGTATTATTATTATATTATTATTTTTTATGATTATTTATTAAATTATAATTTATGATTACGTGTTTCAAATTTTATCCTACCCGGGATGTTTACTAGACTCTTGTTCGGACAGATTTCAGTGAGTTATTCCTAAGAATTATCGGCCTAAAATAAAAAAAAAAAATACATATTTCCATGCAAAAAAATGGTACCGCTTTCAGCACCAAAAATCGGTAAGAATCATACCGCCAAGGAGGTTAAAGTGATTTCTCAGGAAAATAAAGCATGGAGACATGGATGGGTGAGTTTGTTTTGAATATTAAATATGAATTAAATAGTGCTGGTGGTGCTCAGATACAGTGAAGTTCTGCTTTGACTTCCAAGGGGACTGACATCCCCTGTTTAATGACAGAGCCTCGCTGATAAATAAGGTTCTCACATTTGACATGGGATAGAAGGCTGGTGGGGCCAGATTGCTCCCAAAAAGACCATGAAAAATATACTACTGTGAATCCAGCAGGAAGGTAATATATAATATTATTCAGTAGAAGAATTACTTTTTATTAAATACCCAATTTTTTAATCTTACTCCACATTTACAAGCAGACCAAGCTGTACGGCAGAATTAAGGGAGGCTGGGTCAAACCAAAACACTGGGATACTTGAGCAGTTTCAGGGAAAACAGAAAATAAAATCATGTGACTAAAAAGGTGACCATTGAAAGCACAACTGGGATATGTTCTTCCCCCCAAATAAACATATTTGTTGATCCTGCCAGTGGAAGGACCTTCCTTTCACAGGGTTACAAGACTAAATGGCCCACAGTGAACTCACTGCAGCTCTGTCACCCTGTGCAGTCATCAAAGCACCATGGACTGCAGGATTATGATGTTATGCATACTCAAAAGGAGAGCCATAACCATTGTTGCCATTGAATCCCCCCCCTCTACATAGTGAAGACCTCTGCAGTCTTTGGGATGTCAAATGAGCGAAGAAGATGACTTATTTACTCTTAGGCAGGAATGATTACACAGGGGCAAGGATGACTTTAAATTTTAAAGACCTAGAAATCAGGAAAGCAGAATGCGTAAGGATCAGGGTGATGTACATCACTGTTAATAATAAATGCTTTTACTTCCTTGCAGCCTGTAACTCACCGAGCATCTGCAGATTACTGACATGGAAAAATGATGTTTCATCCATGTGCTGTAAGAGACGACCAGGGGTACAGATGAGAATGTTTGTGCGATGAATGCGGGACGATTCTTGTTTCAGATCCTACAAAAGGGCAAAGCAAAACTGTAACATATCAGCTCTCAAACTTGCAGTCAATATAGTTCAACTGTTCCAATGGCTCGGTGCGTATAGGACTGAAGTTTAAACTAATGCAATCAAATTTGTGTAGGCCAAGTAAATGAAACGGCCTAACTTAACCCAAGAACAAAACATGTAATAAATTGCTTACCAGTTTGTAGATGTAGTAGCTGCTGAGTTTTAATTGAATTTTAAACTACTTTTCAGCAAGTAGAAAAAATACTTTTGATCTTGCCAGAAATGCAGCGTCCTTGTCACTCTTTGTCAGCCAAACTGTACACAAATTTTATTATTCTTAAATACCCATAAATCCCATCAGCCACAATGTAATGGAGTTGAACAAAGACAGATATATTACCAGTCAAGCCTGGGTGGCAATCCTGGTTCCTTCCAAAGATACAATAAAAGACATAAACATAGGCACTCAGGGACACTCAGGGACTGTCGAATGTCCCTATAGCAAACAGCTTGCTGTGGGGCACTCGTGCAGGCTCGATTCAGAGCTGGCTTTGTGTGCCCATACACAGCATGGTACGGTTCCACTGCCCCGCTCTCTGCTCACAGGCTATGATTAACAATGTCCAGTGAGGAGAGAGAGAGCGGAGACATCCACTGCTCTTGTGCACAGCACTGGATTAAGATTGGGGGCATCTACATCCAAAAGGTTATTTACCTTAATGCAGAGAATGCATTATGGTAAAAAAAAAAAAAAAAAAAACACAAAAACCTTCTGCCTATAGAACCGTATTAAAGAGTAACTCCACTTCTGTCGAGAAGAAAAGAAAGAAAAAAAAAAAAATCAAATCTCTTCTAGGTGATCAATATGCATTGCAAGGATTTTAACAAATTCTGTTGTAGATTACCCACTTTTTTGTTGCTCTGGAGAAATATCTGTTTGTCTATGTTGATGTGCAGAAGGAGCCTGAATGGGATTGACTTTCAATATCAATCACCTTTTGCTCTTGGAAAGTTCTAATGAGGAAAATTGCAGAATCTGAATCCCTTTAAAAGTGAAAACCCTTTGGGAGTATCTCGCCAAAAATGAAAATTTTCTTGCCTAAAATGTGACATATTACGTATTGTAGCACAGACCTCTGTAAAAATCAGTGAGCCAATCTCAATTTTCGCATCAAATTGCAGGCAGGTGCATTCATATCTGTGTCTGCACAATACCTGCAATGGTAGCATTTAGGAATTCAATCACAACATCAAAGGTAAGGGTTCACCAAATGGCTGACAAAAGGCAGTGTGATGAAGTGGTGTACTACAGTAATATCTTAATTTATATTTTTGACTCTAGAATATTCTGGTGCTGAAACCGATAACCGAACCTGAAATGTCTGCGTATGTGGGGACGCTCCACGTTTTGTATTTTTTTCTAATATACATATATATATTTTTTTTTTTTTTTCATTTTTTTAACTTATGATTTTATTGCTATCACATAGGAGACCAATAGTCATATGTGTGACAGACCATCTTTGTAGGGGGGAAGGGGTGGGGGGGCAGTGTGCGCAAGGAGGGGGCAGGAGAAGAGCAGTGTATACAGTGAGAGAGCAGTGTATACAGAGAGGCTCCCTCACTGGCTGTCACTATACATTAGTGCCGGTTTTTAAATGTAATTGCCATATTTTTTTTTTACTGCACTATAGCTCAGATAATAGGCTGTCACTTTCCCCGGAGCTAAAGGAAACTGTTTCTTTCAGCTTAGGAAAAGTGACGGCTTTCTCTAAGCTATAGTTAAAAAAAAAAAAAAAAAAAGCCGATTACATTTAAAAACCAGCAATGACATATAGTAACAGCCAGTCACTGTATACACTCCTCCCATCCTGCCTTGCACCCCCCCCCCCCCCCTTCACATCTGCAGTACATATAGTCCACTGTATCGGCTAAAGTTTTCCTATCGGGAAAATGCGGATACGGCTATTTTCGGACGATATGTTTCAGTGGCTGAAATTTCGGTGTTGTCAATAGGACATAAGTCGAAACAAGCCTAAGATTGCAATACACTAGTGTATTTTCTAATGAGTATTTGTATGACCATCCATTCAGAAATTCTTACAGTAAATTTGAATGTTGTTTAGTAGTACCTTAAGTGGTAGTAAACCGCAGAAAAAATAAATATCTCCTGCAAGGCAATGTCATAATGTGCTAGTATGCATTGCAAACAAGCACATTATGAAAAACATACCTTAGAACGAAGCCCTCCATTGGTGTGCTGTCACCTTTCCCCAGTCTTCCTTCCAGCTACGAGTGGCCAGAGCCGCAATGACGTCACTCATGTGCATGTGTGTGGGAGCCCTCGGCTGCGGCAGAAAGCTCTGAAGGTCCAGCATGGTATCCAGGATCTTCACAGCATATGTGCCGGTGATGTCAATGGCTGCATCTATCTAGTGTGAATACCTCTTAAATGGTGCAAGTTTAGGAGGTATTCATGGTATTCACAGGTAAGCCTTGATACAGGCTTAACCTGTAGGTACAATTTTAAAAAACAACTTCAAACGTTTCGTTTGCGGATAACACTTGATTTTGGAATGAATGTAATTTTGCGAACAAAAAAACAATCCAGAGTTCATTCAATGGAAAAAAAGTTCCATCCTGCTTGTTTGAATTTTCTCATCACTGAAGTTGACAATGAATGTCGAATTGACCCCTGACAATTCAAAAATAAAAAAAATGGTCTTGAAATGTAAGATTTCAAACAAAATTCTTGTAGTGTATGGCCAGTTGTATTCCACATAGAGTAAGTGAGTGAGTGAAAATCAGAACATATACGAAAGAGTAAGTATTAAAATTAAACTACTATTAAACACTGATAGCAGGAATAATCTTTTTCCCAGTATCATAAATATAGTATAACTGGATGAAAAATGTTCATAGTCAGAGGCTGCATTCACAAAGCAAAGAAAAGAAGTCCCAGACTAAAAGTATTTAAATCCAAAAATCTCCAATTCTATTTGGAAAATCCCCGGAGTGTTTCCAGATTTCATCAATTTCATATTTATCTACATTAAAGCTCAGCTGAAGTTTCTAATTATATCATAGTGCCCCCAGCTGAGTTAAAGCTAGAGCTGTGCAATCAGCAGGGAGCATGCTTATTGAAGAGTTCTAGATCTGATTCAGCAGAGGACTATCAGACTCAGAGACACAAAAAGCAGTTGTTCTCTGCAGCGGGCAGTCTGTGGGAAGAAATTTGTGCTGCTACTAGAGCCAAGTTAAACACGTGTAAAACATCTACCAGTGCCATTTTTTTTATATTGTTTAAGGGATGCTAAATATATAGGTCCACATTTATTTATTTCAGGTACTTATATAGCGCTGTCAATTTACACAGCACTTTTACATATTATATATTGTACATTCACATCAGTCCCTAACCCTCAAGGGGTGTACAATCTAAGGTCCCTAACTCACATTCATACATATACTATGGACAATTTAGACAGGATCCAATTAACCTACCTGCATGTCTTTAGAGTATGGGAGGAAACCCACGCAGGCACAGGGAGAACATGCAAACTCCAGGCAGGTGGTGCCGTGGTTGGGATTTAAACCAATGACCCTAGTACTGCCAGGCAGAAGTGCTAACCACTAAGCCACTGTGCCGCACATTAAGTACAACTACCCATTTAAGGACAAACCAAGGATGGCTGCAAAGAAAGTAAAAATGCAACAAGACATGGAATGACTAGCAACAAATGCGCTTGTCCTCAGAACATTATAAACAAATCAGGAGTACAATGCTCATGATTATAACCAATCTCACAAACCTTTCCTCCAATGATGAGCCCAGCAGAAAATTCATGGTTCCGACCCAATTTTCTCAGAACCTCAAAGGTCTGGTAAGCCAGCTCTCTGGTAGGAGAGATGATCAGTATCCCAAGCCCATCGTCTGCTGTCCACTGCTGCCGGTACAAACATTCCAGAGCCTGCAAGACACCGTTGAGAAATATGTTAAGCTCTTTGCACCCTGTGCTGGCGAAATATGTGCTGAGGGTAACATTCTCTATGGATAACATACTGCCCCATTATTTCTGGTATGTAAGCCATGTTCTGTTAAAAAGAACCATTTCAGTATATCTAGATAATATCTAGAGGATTCTTTAACTGTCATGTTCTATTGCAAGCTTAAATATACTCAGTTGCACAGCAGTCAGTTCATATGGATTACAATTTGATAAACAAGACCCTGTCTGTGTCCCATTAGACAAATCAACCAGACTCAAAACTTCTCAGAAAACTGCTATAGAATGCAAGTTTGGATTTTGTTGCCGAGGAAAAAAACTACAAGGCTTAATAAAGACTCTGATATATCAGGCCCCGTCATCACACTAACAACATATCACTAAGGCACCACAAGGTATTTGCTTGGACCTTGTAAATCTACCAAATTTTCCATTTTGCCTCCCAGGGTAGACATTCTGAAAAGTTCAAAACAGAGACATTCTGTTGTATTGTAACACTACTGGGAAGGAATGCCCAAAGCTTAGCTTTGGTGCAAAAATCAGAAACTCTGAAACAATGGGGTTGATTTACTTAAACTGGAGAGAGCAAAATCTGGGGCAGCTCTGCATAGACATCAGCTTCCAGTTTTTTTGTCCAAGCATAACTGAACAAGCTGGAGTTAGAAGATGATTGGCTACCATGCACAGCAGCACCAGATTTGCACTCTCCAGTTTTAGTAAATCAATCTCTACTTTGGCGGCTTCTCCTACACACGAGAAGCAAATTTACAGCTATTTTCAGGTATGGATATTTTTGCATAGTAACTTTGTACCAGCTTGAACCAGTGTAAGTATGCTTGATCCATACCTGCCCGACCCCCTGGGAGAATGGAAATCACTGTAGTAGGCACCGCTACTCCATTTATGTCCACTAGCAACTATCTGTGTTGCAAGCCAAGCAGCTGCTTAGTGAACTCAGGTCACTCGCTCAGCATGGGAGCCTTTCAGAAAACACTGAAAAATATGCATTTAATATTAAACTTCATTGCTCCACAGAGTGGGGATTCTTTAGGAGGCTTGCTATCTGGGCCCTGTACACAGCCTAGGACCCACAACAGTATGTCCTCCACACCTGCAGTCTGTAATATTCCCAATGAATGCAAAGCGTTCTCTGATTGAGCGAGGTGAAGATCATGACATTACCTCCCCGCCTCTCCAGCTCATAGCCCAAAACTTGTGGAAATATGGTTCTTCTTGCAAGATTTGGGCTATTCAGCATTCCCAGAGATCTTTTCATCAGAATGACATCTCCTGCACTAGCAGAAGTAGGAGAAAGGTGCGTATGTTAATTAACTTTCCCCCCACCCTCCACAGGTTCTTTAATACAGCAATTTAGGAATGGGAGAGGGGCACTTTGAATAGGTGGACCTTGCCACTGAAGTGAAAGGTCAGCTTTAAAAAGCAACAATAACAGAACATTAAAAAGCATAATAGCAGCTTACAGGAATAAGAAAAGCCAGGGTTTTTCCAGACCCAGTTTTAGCAGCTCCAAGAACATCCTTCCCTTGTAGGGCCAATCCAATTGTTTGTTTCTGGATCTCAGTAGGCAACCGGTACTGAGCCTCAACCAAACCTATATGGGGGATAAACAGAATACCTGATTGTTCATTACTTTACAAAATATGCATTTAATATTAAACTTCATTGCTCCACAGAGTGGGGATTCTTTAGGAGGCTTGCTATCTGGGCCCTGTACACAGCCTAGGACCCACAACAGTATGTCCTCCACATCTGCAGTCTGTAATATTCACTGGCCCAATGTCACCCTGATCTCAGCCCTTTTGGCAATCACAGCCTGGAACAGAACAGTAGCGGAGTGTGGACTCCTGTGCTTGTAAGTGGGTGGGTGGAAGTGCACATTTCAAACACCGGGAAGTGTGTCGTCATTTGGTGTCAGAACAAAGCCAGCACCATCTTGGTCCTCCTTGACCTACCATACAGGGAACCTGCGCAGAAGTATTATACTGCGAGAAAGATAAAGGAAGAAATCCCCTAGGGGGATTGATGACTACCAGCACCATTGCCACATCAGAAGGAACAGGCAAAAAAAACACTGGCTGCTGGAGTTGCCTGCATCAGTCAAGAAGCAAGGTCCAGCACGTCTTCAGGGAAAACACCCTCACGCATGCAACCTAGCCAGGAACACAGACACCCCAGGACCTAGCCACATGGGGGCGGCCCAACAATCAAAATTATCATAGCCAGGGGACAAAAAAAAAACAAAAAGTGTACTCTTGGATGGTCTGAAACACAAAAACAACTGAGGATGAGGTGGCTTTTAATCTCTTTCTGGTTTGTGTTTCTTGTTGAAGGTGGAGCCAATCTTCTCTAAAGTAGAGGTCCTAGAAGATTATTTAGGAAATTTAAACACAGGTCTATACATTCATATCTAAATACTTATTTTAGCCTCTCCAATGAACAGTTAACGTGAAGACAATTCTTTGATTTTTCTTTCCAACTTCTCTGCCCTTCCCCTGATACAAGCCCTATTATTGGGAGTTACTAATGTTGAGCTTAAGCAGGGCTCCATTGCCACCAATCCCTATTCAGTGACATTTCTGACCAGTGGATCAATCAGTTCAAGTTTCACCCATTCTGTCTTTTCAAGCAGGCTCAGCTGGATGCACTATCCAGCTTCATTGGTTGCAAGAATGCAGTCGGCCAGTGCCATTGACTGTTAAGGTACAGGTGGCACAGCCGCCCACATCATACAAATGCATGATGCTGTATGACCCGGTCACCTGCACCCTAGCAACCAATAATGCTTGACAGTCCTACCGACTGTGTCCTAACAAACCAACGATGATGTGTGGCTCAGCCCTCTACATCCTAGCAAACAAAGCTGGAATACTAGGTTGTGGATTAGGCTGATCATTGCTTGTTTTGTATTTATAAAATGAATACAAAATCTAGCAAGAAGAGCCTTCCATAATGGGAACAACAAATGTGAAAACCTAGGAACCCTCATTCATAGTCCCTAAGAGATATAAGAACAAAAGAAATTGTTCACTGGTTTAAGGTCTGTAGCATCTTCCAAAAACTGAAATGTCTGCCTTGGTTCAACTGTCAGAACTTAGCAGAGCTCTTATTGAACCACTTCAATACTGGGCAATTTCACCCCCTTCCTGCCCAGGCCAATTTTGAGCTGAACTGAATGACAACTGTACTCATATGAAATTTGTATCATTTTTTAAGACAGATAGAGATTTATTTTGGTGGTAATTAATCACCACTGGGTTTTTTATTTATTGCTAAACAAATGAAAAGGGACCAAAAATTTTGGAAAAAAAAAAAAAAAAAAAAAAAAAAAACTTTCTTAGTTTCTGTTATAAATGTTTTCAAATAAGTAATTTTTCTTCTTCACTGATTGGCACTAATGAGGCTGCACCTATGTGCACTGATGATCAGTCCCTGATTATTAGTGTAATTGTGTGCGGTCAGGATGGCCGGTTATCGACTCTCCTCTCCTCACACAGTGACAGCGCGAGGAATGGAAATGACGATAACCGACAAGTATGTTTACATGTGATCAGCTGTGATTGGATCACATGGTAAAGGGTCGCTGTAGTTGGCCCTTTACCTCAATCTGTAATCAGCTGTGTCCAAAGGACACAGCGATCACAGAGCATGCCCGAGGGCGGGGTTCTGGAAAGACATCTGCAGACTCCCTCCCAGAACTAGACAACCATGCTGTAGCCATCTTTTGACTATAGAGCGGTTGGGAAGTGGTTAAACTGAAAATATTTCCCCTTTAGAGAACAGTAAAATACATTACAGTAGCTGTACTCACCACGAATAGTTTTTTTTCGATAAGGGAAAGTCTGAAAATCTATTAACCTCATTGGTGTTTATCTAAAAGAAATATAAAAACAAGAAAATCAATTACACAATCAGAAAATCTTCCATATTTTCTTCTTTTAACACAAAGGCTTTGTTCAGATGGTAAATGCATATCAAACTTTGACAGCCATGCAGTAGTGGCTGCACAGACCCAGATACTGCATTCACAGACCTGAATGCACATACTGCAGCTCCTGCACAGCTGTAAAATTGCGGCATGTGGCTGTGTCCACCTCAATAGGCTCCCTGCACATAGCTCAAGGCAGATACGGACGCCAAAAACAAAAGCAGCCTGCCAGCGCCCATCAAAACAAAACCAATATGTTTCCTTATTTGTTAATAATGTTAACTTTATTGTCAATAAAAAAAACACTTGAAAAACTTTCATCGTTCAACAAGGAAATGGGCAACTGTTTTATGGGGAATTATAACTGACAGGATGAGGTTACAACATTTGTAGCTACAACAGTTAGTGGTTACTAATCCATCTCAATTGATTCCGTTATGACAATAAAAGCTACAAAAACCACAGCTACTGACTTTTAAAAAAACAGCCACTCACCTGTCGCATGATCCAGCGGTGTTACTCACTGCAGCCGCTTTCACCAGCCGTCCTCGCTCCTCAGCATCCTAAGTGTGGGCACCCAGCTGTGACAGCCGGTTGTTCACTGAGCGTGTGCAAGTAGCTCTGCGCCTCGTGAATGCTTTCGTAGTCTTCAGAAGACTACGGGGAGATGGGGGGAAATACAACTTCAACTTCTGATTGCCTAGGCCAGGGCTTGACAAATTTGCTTTGAATCTAGGAACCAGCTAAAAATGTTAGGGCCAGTTTTACTGGTTACTTTTGCCCCCCTTCCTGCCCAGGCCAATTTTCAACTTTCAGCGCTGTCATACTTTAAGCTCTGGTACACATCTGTGTGGTCGTGCGGGCTGCAATTTGCGCGGGCACAAGAGCCCATTCATTTGAATTGACTCCTGTGCCCCAGGACATGCAGGGAAGAAGTCCCTGCACTACTTTGGAAATCGATTTCCAAATCGATTTGGTTGCGATTTCCAGTGCAGGTGGTGTGCCATTAGGATTAATGCCACCCGCCTGTGGGTTCCGCATTCCTCTGTGTGGGTGGTGCAGCTGCAGGTATTTGTGCAAGTCCCACAGCGGCACCACCCACACAGATGTGAAACAAGGGTAAAGGACAATTGTGCAGCCATGCAACAATGTAGCCAAATAAAGTTTTTATCTTTTTTTTTGAGACAGCTAGAACTGTCACACCATCGGTTCCTGCTCCAAGGTGAGGCAGAGAGTTTTCCCAGAGTCACAAAGGGGACACTTCCTGCTAGTTCCGCTCCTCCTCTGACCTGCCTCTCCTACTACCCTACAGTCTGGCATCTCCCCTAACCTGCCCTTCACATTCCCGCCGCTCTCTGCCCTCACAGCGCCGCTGCTCCCTACCCCCCAGCTTCACACACGTGGCAGTGACACCTGCAGGCTGCTTGGCAATGTTGCGCTCCTCTATTCTACACCAAGAGGGCTGACAAACGCCCGGTAGCCAGGACATATTTTCTAGTTGTCATAGCAACCTGGCGCCTGGGATTTGTTAAACCCTGGCCTAGACAGTTGCAGTGGAAATGGGAGCAGGTACCTGCTTCCCAAAGATGCCAATAAAACGCATGTACAGCGGGGGGCCATTACTTAAAGTGGAACTTACCCTTTTGGGTGGAGCTCCGCTTTAAAGAGAAGTATAACCAAAGCTCTTCTGTCCCTACTTCTCTTATGGATCACAGCAGTGCACTTAACTCTCCACTACTGTGACCCAGATTAACTCACAATGTGCTAAAGCCTGCTGTTGCTGATGTCACAGAGCCACTTCAGACTTTGTGCAGATCCTGACAATAATGTTGGGATCCCCCCCCAGAAGCCTGTACCAGCAGCTGCCTCAGCCTCTCAGTGAGCTGCTGAGAGCCTCAGCCTGCGGCTCCCTCCCCATAGCTCAGCACTCCAGTGAGTGTTGGGGGCAGAGCTGAGAGTTGCAGCCACCACTCTCTGCCCAGTGAAGATGGAGAACTGAGTGATCAGCAACCATGTGATCACAAGGTTCTAGGGCTTAGAGCAGGTGGGTGACAGATGCAGTACTGGAACTATACTGCAGCCATACAGGTGAGGATGGGTGTTTTCACCCACACTTCTTACTGTGGAGAAATCGTGGAGGGGATGATGAGCTCCCCTCAGGGGTGGGTGATGTATCCTCCTGTGAACACAACATACCTGGCTGTAGCTCTGCACCAGGCGGCTGATGCTATCCCTCTCTGACTGCCATTCGGGCGTCTTGTTCTGCTTCCTGCGGATCTTACACTTCTCCTTCTTCCGGCTGTATTTCTTCTTCCACCTCTCGAAGTTCTTCACCGGGTCATTCCTGTTATTGAACAGCGGCTGCTTCTTCTTCTCCTGCTGGCTGCCCGGCTCCCCCATGCTTAGTCTCTCTTCCTGTACACACAGACACATGGGTGAGGCGCACACTGATGACGTGATCACGATGCTTTGTTAGGACTGGGCACGTGATAGCTGAGGCCAGTACAGTGTGTGATGTGAGAGAGCGCAGCCCTCTGCTGGTAGGTTGTGCCTGCCTCATCGTATGTCACATTATCAATGTTATATGGAATCCTCACGTGATAAACCCGCGATATTGAATCCTCACATGGTAAACCGTGTGATAAATTCGCAATACTTTATTTATTTCAGGTACTTATATAGTGCCATCAGTTTACGCAGTGCTTTACATATATATTGTACATTCACATCAGTCCCTAACCCTCAAGGGGTGTACAAGGGTCCCTAACTCACATTCATACATATACTAGGGCCAATTTAGACAGGATCCAATTCACCTACCAGTATGTTTTGGAGTGTGGGAGGAAACTGGAGTACCTGGAGGAAACCCATGCAGGCACAGGGAGAACATGCAAACTCCAGGCAGGTGGTGCTGTGGTTGGGATTTGAACCAGTGACGCTAGTACTGCCAGGCGGAAGTGCTAACCATTTAGCCACTGTGCTGCCTGAATATACAGATATGGATTCTTCACTTGGTAAACCCATGATATGAAAATCCTCGTGATAAACCCACGATATGGAACCCTCCAGTGATAAACCCACAACATGGAACCCTCACGTGATAAACCCGCGATATGGAACCCTCGCGTGATAAACCCGCGATACGGAATCCTCGTGTGGTAAACCCGCAATACGGAATCCTTACAGAATCAGTCTGTAATCATGATAGATCCCACAGCAGCGGTGGACAGCTTGGAGATGCCAGAGGTCTGCTCCATAGCAGCATTGTCTTCCTGGGATGAGGAGTGTCAGGGAAGCCAAGCCATTCTATATGAACAGGCTGTAAGACATATAAATGCCTGAAAATCCAATCCACACTGAGGAGGAGGGTGGTGTCAGTAATAATAACCCCCAACATTGCTGTCAGTGACCACAAAAATACTTTCCCAATATTGGTGTAACAGACCACAGTAATAACCCCCAACATTGGTGTCAGTGACCACAATAATATCGCCCAGCATTAGTGTCAGTGACCACAATAATATCTTCCAACGTTGGTGTCAGTGACCACAATAATATCGCCCAGCATTGGAGTCAGTGACCACAATAATATCTCCCAACATTGGTGTCAGTGACCACAATAATATCTCCCAGCATTGGTGTCAGTGACCACAATAATATCTCCCAACATTGGTGTCGGTGACCACAATAATATCTCCCAACATTGGTGTCGGTGACCACAATAATATCTCCCAACATTGGTGTCGGTGACCACTATAATATCTCCCAACATTGGTGTCAGTGACCACAATAATATCGCCCAACGTTGGTGTCAGTGACCACAATAATATCTCCCAACGTTGGTGTCAGTGACCACAATAATATCGCCCAACGTTGGTGTCAGTGACCACAATAATATCTCCCAACATTGGTGTCGGTGACCACAATAATATCTCCCAAAATTGGAGTCGGTGACCACAATAATATCTCCCAACATTGGTGTCGGTGACCACTATAATATCTCCCAACATTGGTGTCGGTGACCACAATAATATCTACCCAACATTGGTGTCGGTGACCACAATAATATCGCCCAACGTTGGTGTCGGTGACCACAATAATATCTCCCAACGTTGGTGTCAGTGACCACAATAATATCGCCCAACGTTGGTGTCAGTGACCACAATAATATCTCCCAACATTGGTGTCGGTGACCACAATAATATCTCCCAAAATTGGAGTCGGTGACCACAATAATATCTCCCAACATTGGTGTCGGTGACCACTATAATATCTCCCAACATTGGTGTCGGTGACCACAATAATATCTCCCAACATTGGTGTCGGTGACCACAATAATATCGCCCAACGTTGGTGTCGGTGACCACAATAATATCTCCCAACGTTGGTGTCAGTGACCACAATAATATCGCCCAACGTTGGTGTCAGTAACCACAATAATATCGCCCAACATTGGTGTCAGTGACCACAATAATATCTCCCAACATTGGTGTCAGTGACCACAGTAATATCTCCCAACATTGGTGTCAGTGACCACAGTAATATCGCCCAGCATTGGTGTCAGTGACCACAGTAATAACCCCCAACTTTGGTGTCGGTGACCACAATAATATCTCCCAACATTGGTGTCAGTGACCACAATAATATCTCCCAGCATTGGTGTCAGTGACCACAATAATATCTCCCAACATTGGTGTCGGTGACCACAATAATATCTCCCAACATTGGTGTCAGTGACCACAATAATATCTCCCAACATTGGTGTCGGTGACCACAATAATATCTCCCAACATTGGTGTTGGTGACCACAATAATATCTTCCAACATTGGTGTCAGTGACCATAATAATATCGCCCAACATTAGTGTCAGTGACCACAATAATATCTTCCAACGTTGGTGTCAGTGACCACAATAATATCTCCCAACATTGGTGTCGGTGACCACAATAATATCTCCCAACATTGGTGTCGGTGACCACAATAATATCTCCCAACATTGGTGTCAGTGACCATAATAATATCGCCCAACATTAGTGTCAGTGACCACAATAATATCTTCCAACGTTGGTGTCAGTGACCACAATAATATCGCCCGACATTGGTGTCAGTGACCACAATAATAACCCCCAACATTGGTGTCAGTGACCACAATAATAACCCCCAACATTTGTGTCAGTGACCACAATAATATCGCCCAACGTTGGTGTCAGTGACCACAATAATATCTCCCCAACATTGGTGTCGGTGACCACAATAATATCTCCCAACATTGGTGTCGGTGACCACAATAATATCTCCCAACATTGGTGTCGGTGACCACAATAATATCTCCCAACATTGGTGTCAGTGACCACAATAATATCTTCCAACATTGATGTCGGTGACCACAATAATATCTCCCAACATTGGTGTCAGTGACCACAATAATATCGCCCAGCATTGGAGTCAGTGACCACAATAATATATCTCCCAACATTGGTGTCAGTGACCACAATAATATCTCCCAGCATTGGTGTCAGTGACCACAATAATATCTCCCAACATTGGTGTCGGTGACCACAATAATATCTCCCAAAATTGGAGTCGGTGACCACAATAATATCTCCCAACATTGGTGTCGGTGACCACAATAATATCTCCCAACATTGGTGTCGGTGACCACAATAATATCTCCCAACATTGGTGTCGGTGACCACAATAATATCTTCCAACATTGGAGTCAGTGACCACAATAATATCTCCCAACATTGGTGTCAGTGACCACAATAATATCGCCCAACGTTGGTGTCAGTGACCACAATAATATCGCCCAACGTTGGTGTCAGTGACCACAATAATATCGCCCAACGTTGGTGTCAGTGACCACAATAATATCTCCCAACATTGGTGTCAGTGACCACAATAATATCTTCCAACGTTGGTGTCAGTGACCACAATAATATCGCCCGACATTGGTGTCAGTGACCACAATAATAACCCCCGACATTTGTGTCAGTGACCACAATAATTACCCCCAACATTGGTGTCAGTGACCACAATAATAACCCTCAACATTTGTGTCAATGACCACAATAATATCACCCAACATTAGTGTCAGTGACCACAATAATATTGCCCAACTTTGGTGTCAGTGACCACAATAATATTGACCAACTTTGGTGTCAGTGACCACAAGAATATCTCCCAACTTTGGTGTCAGTGACCACAATGATAACCCCCAGCATTGGTGTCGGTGACCACAATAATATCTCCCAAAATTGGATCGGTGACCACAAATAATATCTCCCAACATTGGTGTCGGTGACCACAATAATATCTCCCAACATTGGTGTCGGTGACCACAATAATATCTCCCAACATTGGTGTCGGTGACCACAATAATATCTTCCAACATTGGAGTCAGTGACCACAATAATATCTCCCAACATTGGTGTCAGTGACCACAATAATATCGCCCAACGTTGGTTCAGTGACCACAATAATATCGCCCAACGTTGGTGTCAGTGACCACAATAATATCGCCCAACGTTGGTGTCAGTGACCACAATAATATCTCCCAACATTGGTGTCAGTGACCACAATAATATCTTCCAACGTTGGTGTCAGTGACCACAATAATATCGCCCGACATTTGTGTCAGTGACCACAATAATAACCCCCGACATTTGTGTCAGTGACCACAATAATTACCCCCAACATTGGTGTCAGTGACCACAATAATAACCCTCAACATTTGTGTCAATGACCACAATAATATTGCCCAACTTTGGTGTCAGTGACCACAAGAATATCTCCCAACTTTGGTGTCAGTGACCACAATGATAACCCCCAGCATTGGTGTCGGTGACCACAATAATATCTCCCAAAATTGGAGTCGGTGACCACAATAATATCTCCCAACATTGGTGTCGGTGACCACAATAATATCTCCCAACATTGGTGTCGGTGACCACAATAATATCTCCCAACATTGGTGTCGGTGACCACAATAATATCTTCCAACATTGGAGTCAGTGACCACAATAATATCTCCCAACATTGGTGTCAGTGACCACAATAATATCGCCCAACGTTGGTGTCAGTGACCACAATAATATCGCCCAACGTTGGTGTCAGTGACCACAATAATATCGCCCAACATTGGTGTCAGTGACCACAATAATATCTCCCAACATTGGTGTCAGTGACCACAATAATATCTTCCAACGTTGGTGTCAGTGACCACAATAATATCTCCCAACGTTGGTGTCGGTGACCACAATAATATCTCCCAAAATTGGAGTCGGTGACCACAATAATATCTCCCAACATTGGTGTCGGTGACCACAATAATATCTCCCAACATTGGTGTCGGTGACCACAATAATATCTCCCAACATTGGTGTCGGTGACCACAATAA